AGCCTACAAAATATTCTGGAGGTGATTCACATTAGAGTGGTACACTAGCTCAAGTCCTTGGAGTTGTTTAAAGAATTTTCGATGGATGACCTGCCATGAAATTGAAAGGAAATTGCAAGCTCAGTTCCGGCTAAGGAAACATTTTTACATACTTGGACCCCCCTCCTCCCACTGGCTTTACCAATCTGAATTTTGATGGAAGTGTTGTTGGAAATCCAAGGCCTTCAGGCGTCGGGGGAAATACTAAGGAATGAGGAAAGGAATGTAATTGCTCTTTTTTCTGGACCAATTGGAGTTGGTGGTTCTCTTCGGGCTGAAATTATGGTGGCTTTCGAAGGAGTACAAAGAGCCAAGGAGCTGAACATTAGAAAATTGGTTATAGAAGGAGATTCTAAGTTGGTGGTGCGCTGGTTGAAACTTGAAAGCAGAAATAACTGGTTTCTGTAACTACAGTTATGAAAAGAGGAAATTTAAGTAATTGACAAAGGGTGTGCCAACTCCATGGCTGATGGGCTAACTAAACAAGGAGTGAAGAGGGGTTCTTTGTTTTGGGCTTAATTGTAACTTTGTTTTTTGGACTTTCGGTGGGAGAGTTAAGAGATCTTATCCCCCCTGCCCCTTTCCATACTTAAATCTTATTGTTTTAATGAAACTTACCTGTTATTGATTAAAAACAAAAAATTTCCCTTACACCAAAAAAAAAAAAGAGTATGATCTCCTCTTCCCAGAGGGTCCTTTTCTCATGCTTCTTTTTTCAAGTCCCTTTGCTAGTCTCCTCTTCAGATTTCCTTGTTAAGAAAGTTTGGTGCAGGCCTGTCCCCCTTACAATCAGTGCGTTTTGTTGGGAAGTGTTCTATGGGAAATTTAACACACAGAATAACTTGCAAAAGAGAAGATCTTTCTTGTGTATTTCTCCTAATTGGTGTATTCTTTTCAAGTCTGATGTTGAGAACTGTTACCACCTACTAATTGCTTGTTCATTTATTGCAGAAATTTTGGATTGGCTTTTCTCGTTGTTTGGGTGTAGGTGGATTCTTCCAATAGAGAAAATCATGCTAATTGACCCTTCTACCTTTGCCTAGCCTAAAAAAAGATGGACTATGTGGAGATGTGCAAGGGCATCCTTGATTTGGACCATATGGTAAGAAAGGAATGCAAGAATATTCCAAGAGAGGGAGAGCAGCCAACAAAAATAAAGGATTGTGTGATGAATAGGGCAATACATTGGTTAGAAACCTGGATATGTTCTTCCACCAATTTTCTTTTGATGATGTTTGGTGGAATTGGTCTATAGTGGCAAGTTGCTCTTTCAAAAAGGATAGAGTAAACGTAATTTGGGCACCTCCTCTTAAAGTATATTTAAAGATGAACTTTAATGGGAGTAGTCAAGGTAATCCAGCCCCATTTGGAATAGGAGTTTTGAGAAAAAGGATGGTAATGCCTTATCCTTTTTATCAGGTCTTGTGGGAGTTGGGGACCTTATTAGGGCTGAATTATTAGCTGCAATACAAAGAATACAGTTTGCAATCCAGCTAGGTGTGGAGCACCTACTAATTGAAGGGGGTTCCAAAGGTCATAGTGGGGTGGTTGGTTGAAGGACCCGAACACTGCCATCTAGTGCTATAAGAATGAAACCAAGAAATTGAAGTGGTTAACATGAAATATGAAATTAAGAATACAATGGGTGGGGAGATCAGCAAATGCATGGCTGATTGTTTAGCCAAGCAAGGGGAAAATAACAATTATTTTTATTGGGCTCAGTTGTAATCTTCTGTTTGTATTTTTAACTACTTTTTTGGAAGAGATCACAGCTCAAGCCTCTCAAAGGGATGTTTGTATTAGCTTGAAACTTTTGTTTAATAAATTATTTATTGATCCAAAAAAAAAATCAACCACACCTTCCCAACAGACCAAACAGACATTCACTACACACCCAAGGGCAAAATAGCATTGTTTGATTGCTTGGTATACTAAACTGCAGTTGTCACATACCTCTACTACCATTAATTGATCACATGATCCAAGAAGAACATCACTGAGACTTCAAAAGACCTTTAAACCACCAGTACACCTAACCGGGTCACCACAAAATATAGATGCCTTGGTGCCATGACCGAAGGGAAAAGAGAAAAAGGTAGAAAGAAAAAGTTCAGATCACACTGAGTTGTCCTCTTGAAGTCTTCAATTAAAAATGTAAGTTTTTGGAGAGAGGAATGATCAGTCCCTGCTTTCATACCATGAAAACAAAACTGACTTGTAAATTGAAGAGAGAGGAGAAAAGAGGGAGAAGGCAGAGAGAAGAATGGGCAGAAAAGTTAGAAAAAGAATATTGAGTGGCTAGTGGCTTCCCACTCTCTTTACTTTAAAAGGGTGACATAAAATGTAAAATGACTAATATGCCATTGTGTCAATAATTGTAAATATTACAAAAATACTATTCTTGCAATTCATTACGATTCAAATAAATTCATTTTTAGTGCTCTACTTTGTTATATTTTTTGTTTATATTTAGCTTTGTCAAGGGACACTTGTTTTAATGCTCTTACTGGAAAATGATTTATTTATGTTATTTAAGATCATATATTGAGTTTATTTTCCATCATATGTAGGTTAAAGAGCCATTTTATTGAACTATGGCTCATGGAGTGGCATAAGTCTTGTGCATTAAGAATCTTCTAGAAGAGATGGGGTTCATAGTTCATAGCCCCATGCTATTCTATTGTAATAATAAGGCTGTTATCAACATAGCTGCTAATCCAATGCTGCGTGACCAAACAAAATGTACTGAAGTGGATAAGCATTTCGTAATGGAGGAATTTGATAGGGGTGAAGTGTGTACTCCTTATGTTAGCTCTAAGATTAACTGATGTATTTACAATAGGTTGAAATGTCTTGCACCGTAATGAGTTATGTAACAAGTTAGGAATGATTGACATCAATGTTTTAAAAGCGCAAGGAGCAATTTGTGCCTGAGGTGCAAGGTGCAAGGTGAGGTTTGTGCCTTTTTGAATCAAGGCGTAAACATTAAAAAAATGTTAGAAAATAAAAAATGTCAGAAAATTCAAAAATGCCAAAAATTTTCAAAAATGCAAAAAATAAAAAATATTATACATAATATTAATAAAAAAATATAAACTTAAATTTTAAAAAACCTATTATTTAAAATTAGAATACATAAACATAACATGTAAAGCATATTCAAATGAAAATTTAAAAATGAAGTCAAACTTATAAAGAATTTTTCAAGCATGTAAAACCCACAATCTCTTTATCCTCAATTGCATTACTTCAAGTAGCTAATGTGATGTAAAACATATTGCATTCCTGATTCTACAAGCTGCCTTTGTACCACGCCCCTTGAGGCAAGCCCAAGCAAGTCCATGTTAGGGTCTTAAATTCTTAAGTCTCACATAAAAAATAATGATTTTATAACTTTAATTGCCTTTTAAGGAGATATTTATTAGAATGGATGAATGAATGAACAACATTAGAATGAATGAATGAGGTAATTAAAGTTATCAAAACATTATTTTTTATGTGAGAATTAAGAATTTAAGACCCTAAGATGGACTTGTTTGGGCTTGCCTCGAGGGGCATGGTTGGGAGTCCGGGGGCTCCCCAGCCACTAGGTTCAAAAAAAGCATGAAATTTTAAAAAGGTGCATGCCTGGGCTGAGGCGCAAGGCGCATTAGGCACACACCTAGGTGCACCAGGCGTGTGCCTTTCGAAAGGTATGTGCCTGTGCCTAAGACCTAGGCGAGGCACGTACCCTAAAATGTGCCTCACTGTATCAGATTTGATTACAATGATGAAAGGAGATTCCTAAACTATAGTGGCTTGGCTAAAAAATGATGCCCAAAGAACATGGCAACATGGACATACATTGAGAGAAATCCAGAAAATAGCAAGGGAAATGGTTTTTTCAGTTCTAGGGTGTCTAGATCAGCAAATTGTATAGCTGGCTCAATTGCAAAACAAGGGGATAACAGGGAACAACTATTGGAGGGTAAGAAATGAAAACTAATATGTAAAATTTGTATAATGGTAAAGGGAAGGTTAGGTGAAGGCCCCTAACAAGGGGGACACAACTGTACATGGCATTTTTTTGATATCAATAAAGTTTATCGTTAACAATGAAAAAAAAGAAAGAGAAGAGATTATGAAGTTCCATATATAAATATATGAAAAATAGAAAAAGATATGAGCCCATGATTTTAGAGAATATTCTATGATAACAAATGAAATGGATGAAATGGCTGAACTGAATGACTTATTGTTTTGAGTCCTAGTGAATAAATTACTAAGGAGGTTGTGAACTCCTTAATGAAGCAGTTGGTTAGGGAAGCCTTTTTTTTTATAGAAGTCTGAATTGCTCATTCAGGTGAATTCCCAGATCCTACTAATTCCCTAGCTGACAGTTTAGCCAGGGCAGGTGTTGCTAGATAGGGGTGTGATTGAGAGATGCCAAGTCCAGGGGCACTGTTCTAATATGATTTTTGAGGTTTTTATTAAGTATGGTCAGCTCTGTTTTTGTTTCTTTGTAGTTTGTACTGCACCTAGTGCCTGTTAGGAAAGTTCAGAATGCAAATTTCTGTTAATTTCATAAAAAAAAGGCTGAAGCAGAAGCTTAGTTGATTACTTAAAGTAATTTTTTATTTAATATTTTGTTCACTAAAATACAAATAAATAAGTCATTCAATTCAGCAACTTCAGCGATTATCAAACATCCCCCAAGTCTTGATGTTCATACTTAACTACTGATAGCTTCCCATATGCTTTGTTTTGTTGATGTCTCCTTCAATTTGAAGCATATTTAATTTATATTTTATTTACTTTTAGCATATGAGTTGAATGTAAATGCTTCTGTACATATATTGGCTCTTTTTGTATACGCCGAGGGATTCTCACTCTCTTATAGTTATTTTAATACAAAAGTCATATTGGAGCTAAATGTGTTTGTAGTTCTAACTAGGATTTGACCTATAATTACCATCTTGCAGGGTGCTTCAAGTTGACTAGTTGTGATTCAAATACTGCAAATCAAAATATCCATGCATACGGTATCATGCTAATTGTAAGTGTTTTCTTGTTCCACTTACTGTAAATGATTCTCTTCTTAAATCAAAAAAGAGATCATTGACATACATAGACGCAGACATATCATATAAATATGAAGAAAAATATGGTCAGGTAGCAAAGTTTCCTACATGACCTGCATTTTTGTTTTTTTTTTTTTTTTTATGAATGAGTGAAGAAATTTATTAATCAGAAAATGTGAAAGTTACAAGCATCCCAAGGAGAGGCATGTCTCACAAGGTGCAACCTCTCCTAAGAAATTAAATACAGTTTTTTCAGACTCAATTAGAACAAGTCACAAAGTAGCCCAATAAAGACAATCCTGAAAAGCCCCTTGTTTGGCTATTGAATCAGCTACAGCATTAGCTGATCTGGCCACCCATTGAACACTAACTCTCATATTGCTACCATTTCACTTTTTTTTACAGATCTCTATAACCCCATGTAACAGACTCTGGGTTCAAGAGCCACCCCACAACCACTTGAGAATCACCTTCAATTATTAAGTGATCCACCCCAAGCTGGTTTGCAATCTGGATTCCTTGAAAAGCAGCTAGTACTTGTGCCCTTGTGGAGTCACCCACTCCCACTGGTCCTTAAAATAAGGAAATGATATTTCTGTCTTTATTCCTTACGACCCCTCCTATACCCGAAGGTCCTGGGTTACCCTGGCTGCTTCCATCAAAGTTCAGTTTAATGCATCCTTGGGGGGGACGCGTCCAATCTACAACTCTTTTGCCCACTTCTAGCCAATTCCTCCAAAGATCATCAAAAGTAACCAGCAAAACTGTTTAATGTTTTCAGCCAAAATATTGCCCTTGTCTAAGTGCATTTGTTAACTTCAGAGAGACTTCTTTCCTTTCCTAGGAAGATTCTGGCATTTATTTCTTCCCTAATGGTCCACAGGAGAGCAACTCTAATGCATTTCCACATAGTTCTCCCTTTTCTCGTGTGCCACCCAAAAGTAGATGGGTTAAATAGCATACTTACATTAGATGGCAGGTTCCACCTACATCCAAACAAATCAAATATCTAATTCCATAAAGTTGCAGCAAAAGGTGGATATTAGTAAGTGGTAACAATTGTCATTCTAAGCTTTACAAAGAAAACACCAATTAGGGGATAGACATTAGTAAGGTTTCTTCTTTTGCAGGTTTTCCAAAGTATTAATCTTACTATAGTGAACTTCCCAGCAAAAAACAACTTTTTTTTTTTTTTTTTGGGGGGGGGGGGTATAGGTCTAATCCACACTTCTTGCACCAGGAACATCCAAGGGGTAGAGTTGGAGCCGAGGTATTTGAAAAAGGAAGCAGAAGTAAAGGTGCCTTTTAGGGTAAGGGTCCAAATTCTGGTGTCAGGTTTAGAAGGATCCAAGCAAACAGATTCAAGCAACAATAACAACTCAGAAACACAAGTATCTTCCCAGAATCAAACAGAAAAACCAAAGCAAGCTTTATACCTGATTAAATCGAGGAAATAGGGCATAATACCATGAATAGCCTTCCAAGATGTAGTGAGAGTAGCCTGACAAGATACCTTGACATCCAAACCATTCTCCAAGCAACCATGGATACTAGGGGTGGATTCAAGCCGAGTCGAATATCTAGCTATTCAAGCTCGGCTCACCTATAAAGTATGAGGCTCGAGCCTGATTCAAGCTAGATACTTGAGCTCGATTTCAGCTTGAGTCAAAAGCTCATAAGCTCGAGCTTGACTGTGAGCTAAATGTTTTACAAAATAAAAAATTCTACATATAAAAAATTATTTTTTATTTGACATATAAAAAATTAAGAGTTATAAAAATAGATGTTATTATTATTATTTATAAAAAATAAAATATTATAATATAATGTTTTTTTTTTTATTTATATATTATTTTCTCTATGTATAATATTATATATATATATATGTGTGTGTGTGTGTGTGTGTATAGATATGCAAATGTGTATGTATACATATATGTAAAAGCTCAAGTAGGCACGCGAGCCTTACGAGCCGAGCTTTATTGGGCTCGAGCTCGGCTTGAAACTCAGTTTAGATTGAGCCATGGTTTCAAATGTTGCCAAATGTCGCTAATGTCGCCCAACATATGTCGATGTCGAGGCTCACCGACATGAAAATGGATGGTAATATAAAAATTACATTATTTCGGTCGACATTTCCTATATTTCGGAAATGTCGACCAAATCGGTCCAAATAACCAAAAAGAAATGCAGTTTTTCCTATTATGTCGATAGGATGTTGACTAATGTCGACAAGATGTC